AGAAAACATCAGCTCTACTTATATGATTGTGGAAAATTCAACTACCAGTCCTTCATCACCATAAACGAAATGGGGTGAACCCAATTAATATTCTGAATATAGATTTAACCCCCTCCGAACCTACACAATACACTGGCCATTAAGAAGTAACGAGTATAATAAACTAACCGATGGTCAGATGAGGCCAATGGCTGGTCACACTCAAGACAGACAAACTGATCTGCTTCTTTAGGCAGCATTAAGTGATGGTAGTCTTTTACGCGACTTGCCTCAGGTGCATTCATCAGAGTCACCTGGGGTTGTCGTACCGATACCTGACCGTCATCCAAACCGGTCAAGCAAGGATCTCCACTCGTGGCCTGTCGCATCTGAGCGCGCATATGTTCCTGGTGCTCGGGTAAGGGCTGATGAGGCAGAGGCGGCAATGGCTTGGGAGGAGATTGATGTTGTTGTTGAAGGAATTGATTAAGGCGCTGCTGTTGCCTCTGAAGATGCTGAAGGCGAATCTGATCCTGTTCGCGCTGTTGCTGTTGATGAGTCTGTCTGGCAGAAGGCACATTGCGCGAATGGCGCGTGATTGGCATTTCTGCTTGAAGCTGATTTTGTGAGTCTGATTCCGAAATAAGATGCTCTTCAACGCTCTGATGCCTGGATGTGTAGCGATCCAACTCGTTTTCATCAAGCTAGAGGAAAAAAAAGATCCACGCAAGAATAGCGATGCAAATACTATTTGATGTACGGGTCTTCAAGTATGCTTTAAAGAAGGTCCATTTTGGATTATTCCGCACAAGATAAATCGATACATTTCTTCCGGACAATTCACTCGCTTTGCAATAAACTGATGTTCGCAGAGCGCTTTTATAATAGCTGTTACTTTAATATTTTGCAGCGATTAGCTAATGTGATATATCATTAATTTTGTTAGGTTATAACTGATCAAATATCAATTTCCAGTTAAGCGAATTCAAGCATAATAAAATGCCAACATTTTCATTTTAACTGTTTGTTGATCTATTTGGAATAGAAATACGCTGAGTCATTTCGTCTGAACCTAAACAAGTCGAAATGAGCTATGCGATGGCAAAATAAAGACTTAGTCAACAAAGTCCCTTCGGCCAGTAGAAGTACGCTTTCAATCATAGTCTGGTCTTAAATAGGGAATTTTGCAAATATGAAAAACATTCCGCTGAGTAGGCGGACAAACTTTG